CGTGCAAACCCCCCCGTCAGCGCCGGAACAAGCCAAGAGCACCGGGGGGGTCCTACCAGGCGGGGCACGAAAACCGAAGGTGCTGCGAGGTTTCTCAGGAATTCCCGAATTTGCGAGATCAGGCCCTCGGATAAATCACCGTTGCACGCGACGGAACGCTACACGCAGGTGTGGAAGGGCCGGTAGAGAGACGTTATTTCTAGAGCAAGTGATTAAATCCAAATACAAGGTCTAGATATTGCCAGCCTGTAAAAGAAACAAAAACAAAACAACGAAAGAGAGAGACACACTCCACACCATTCACGATCGCATTTATAAACGCGTTAAACATTAATACTGCTGTGTAAAGAGGCTGCATATAAAAAAATATATATAAAAAAAAACCAAAAAACAAAATAGGTTTGTTAGGACGAGAATACAAAACTAGAATACCTACAGATAACGCAATTTTTTAAATCTCCATGTCAAAAGAAAGACTATTGCTCGAATATCCGCCTGCCTCTACGGCCAAACACGCTGTGCGAGAGGCTGCTGCAGAGAGAGGAGAGGGCGTGAGGGGTGTGGGAAATCACGGGGTCCCGAAGGCTTTGTACCTCTACCCAGGGGAAAAGAACCGGAGAAAGCTCCAGCGCTGCAGAGGGAAGAACCGAAGCCTGATACCGATTTATATTCCCGCTGAGGCGCTGCTGGCTCTGCTGGGCTGCGTACCGGAAAGGTGGGAAGCGATACGGGAATCGCCTTAAACAAGTCGCTGCTGTCTTGACTGTGAACTTGAGCTGGAGGAACACTTTAATGTCAGAAAGGGCGTTTATTTTGCTCTAAACATCATATAGATTTAGTGCTTATACGTATACGGAGAACAGGGAACTATTATTTAACAAAAAAAAAAAAATAGTGCATATAGAGATTTTTGTTTCAGGAACGTTTTGTTCTACTAGAAGGAACGAACAACAGACCTGAAGAGCTGCTCGGCCCTCCGCTCTGCCAGAAATCCTAAGAATTGTCCCCGAGAACGGCTCCCTGGGGGCGGCGGAGGGCGCAGGGCACAGCGAGGGGCCAGACCCCTTTGCCTGGCTGACAGGAGCAAAGTGGAGCTGAGGCCAAACCTTAGGCTGAGCTTTTGCTGCTGGGGGCTGGAGCTGCGCTCCGGTTCAAAGGATTAAGCACAGTTCTGGTTAACAAAGACGTAAACGCCGTTCTAGTTAACCGAGACTTGTGTTGGCAAGGCTCTTCAGGGAGAAGCTGAGCGGTTTCCCCGCTTCTGCCAGCGAGCTCCGAAACTCTGGCAAGGCTTTTTAAACCTTCCTTGGAAAGGCCAAGTCTGACATTTGGTTTGGAAGCTGCTCTGGAGAGAACAGCATGTCCATCTCGCGTTTCTTGCGAGATTTTCAAAAATTCGCACCTTCCCCAGCTTGGCTGAGAAAGCCGAACGGCTCCAACGCTCCATTCCCAGCAAAATAAACCGGCCGCTTCATCCCGCACCTCCAGCACCTCCACCCCGCTAAAAACTCCGAGGAGGAGCAAAAAGGAGCGGAGCAGGAGGTGCCAAGTAACGACACTGCCAAGTCCAATCCCTGAAGTGCCCCGCGGGGTGTTGTTAGGTGCGTTATTTTGTCGGAGAGCGAGCCACGTCCTAGCCCACGCGTGAAAAGCCAGAGCAGGAGCAGATAGGGCGCAGGGGTAACTGCGAAGCCTGCCTGAGCTTGGAACCGGAGTTCTGTAGACTTAAGCCTGGCCAAAACAAAATCCCAGTTTTAAATCCCTTTGATGCGCTTGGGAGTATTCCCTCGTGCAGCTTGCGCTGCAACGTTACCGAGAACGCGTCGGCTGCTTTGTTTTGTCGGGTTTTTTAATTAGTGTGCTTATCAAGGAGTTTTGATAGACACCCCCTCTCTACTACACAAGCAGAAGGAAAAAAAAAAAAAAAAAGAGGCAGGTCTGCGTGACATGCATCAGCTCCCCAGAACAGAAGCTTCCTGGTGGAAGGGCTCCGTTTCATGGAATACCGCCGACCACAGCGTACCAACGTACAGCGGCGGTCTCCACGTTAATACTGAAAGGCTGCGTTTTTAATGCCATCTTTAAAAAAAAAAAAAAAAAAAGGGACTGAAGGAATTCTCTAGCAGATAGGAGGCTGAGGAGTAGGTCTAGAAGGAAGTATTAAAAGGTTTAAAAATCTGTACAGGAGCTTTTTTCCTTCTTTTTTTTCTTTTTTTTTTCTTTTTTTTTTTTCCCCTTTCAAAATGTGCAAACGGGCCACGACTCCGGAGGAGGCATTACATGCTTTACGTGACCGGGGACGGCCCCCGCCGGCGCGGAGGTGTTAGGCGGCCTGGGGGAGCGGAACGCCTCGAGTCTAGCAGTTGGAAGAGTGCATGCTCCCCAGCTGGCCAGCGGCCAGCATCAGGATGTCTTTCTTCTCCTTATGGAAACGCAGCTCCTTCCCAGCCAGGCGGGCTTCGTCCAGCTCTCTCTCCGTGGAAGCCAGCTCTCTGGAAAGGGCTCCCGGGCTATTCTGCTCCCTGTTCACCCAGTCCATGGCCATCTGGTTCCTTATGTCGTCGTCCAGAGCGCGGTGGGAGTAGTGAGCCAGGACCTCCTGGTGGTAACGGACACATGCGGGAGGGGGGCTTAGGAAAGATAAGTCGCCACGCGGGACGCAGTTCGCTCAGCGGCGTCTGGCTGCCTTGCCAGCTCAGGGAGCTCGAGGAGAAGGTCGTAAGCGACCCCGGCACGCCCAGAGTGCCGCGGCCCGAGACGCCCGCGGCCCCGACTCACCTGCCGGGAGCACTGCCGCTCTCGCATGGCTTTGAGGCTGCCGTTCCAATGCAACAGCTGGAAGACGGTCATCAGCTCCTGCAACGGCAAGGGGCGGTCAGGCTGCGAGCCAGCGCGGGGACGAGGGTTCAGCGCCGCGAGCAGCCAAGCCAGTTTCTGGCCACGGGAACAAGGAGCCGAGAAGGACTTGGCGACGTCGCGCCCGGTCCTTTGCCACTGCAAGGACCCCGGAGCGGGTTCGCGGCTCTGGAGTCCGTGAACAAAAGAATTCCAGCGTTGGCGAGTTAAGGTTTATCAAAAAGACAAGGAAACCGCAGCGGCGGGGCAGGCGGAAGGCATCGCCAACATGCCAGGAGCCAGGACGCAGGGATCGCCGGACTCTGCCAGCGGGACTCTGGCATCTTGCAAGCTCCGAGCTAAAGCACCAGCCGGAGCGGGTGACAAGGCAACGTTTTCCAAGCAAACATTTCTCTCTCAAGGCCACGCCAACTTTTGCTTCGTGAACTTGCAGGGACTAGTTAGGCTTCCCAAACACAAACACAGCCTAAGGAATACACATGACAGAGGCACCCTGTGTAAACAGGTCCATTAATATAAACACTTCCGTCTTCCGCCCACTGAGTATTTCCATTCAAGGGAATCGAGCCAGGCGAGAAGTCGGCTTCGGGAAAAGTTTGCCTACAGCAAAGAACCCCAAACACAGCGACACTCCGAGATGCATCCAAACCCCGCTTCACCGCCTGCAGCAGAGTTTGGGTCTAATTTCTCCTCTCCTAAAAATCCATCGCCAGCCAGTGCGCTTGCAGTCAACTCGTCTGCACGAGAGTCGTTTCGAGTCGCTTTTGAAGCCCACGTTTAAATTCAAAGGATCCGCGAACCTCAAAGCACCGGCGTAATGACGTCTCTGCACGTGCGGGGACAGACGTCCTGCTGGGCACCGGGGAGCGCGCTCAAAGACTAAAGTAACGCACAGAATTCAGAGTGCTCTGAACAGCCTGGTGTACCTGGCTGCTCCGCTCTGCTCGTAGGAGCGGTCTCCTCGGAAAGGCCGGAATAAAGCCCAGAGGAATCTCAGCTCTCGGTCGTCTGTTCTGCACGGGCCCCTCCTGCCCCATTAACCGGAACTGGTAAGTGCTACAGCAGCCTCCCTCACCAGTTTGTACCTCACCAGTTTGTACTTCTCATTTCACAGATGTTTTGTCGTAATGAGAGACAGGCTGCGCATATTTCGGTAGGATACGAAGAATGCTCGGATAACGCTGTGGTTTGAGGGCACGTAACGACAGCTATCAAGACTCCTAACTCCACAATCAAAATGTCTTTGCATGAAAGATCTTCACCAGCTTTCCTGAGGGAAGCGAGACCTCTCCCATTTTACAGGGAGGGGATAAAACCCACGAATGAAACGCTCGCTTAATGCCATGAGTTAAGGCACCTGGAGGTGTCGTCTGGACCTCCGGCACCAGGTAACGAAATACTACGTCACTGAAAACACCGGATCGGAAGGCGGCAAAATCCCTTCACAACACTGAGCCCTGCAAACATCAAAGAGCGTTTACAGAAAGAAGCCCCATTCCAAGTATTTTGCTGCTATACCAGCACCTGAAAGTGCCACAAATCCTGGGTTGTGCTCCAAGAGGAAAGCCCCACCTTTATTTTGAATGTAAAGTGCCACAGACGGAGGTGAACGATCAAACCAACCATTTGAACCACGTAAGGACATTGTGAACGAGTACCTGGAACTCCAGCATTGATTTTCCCTTGTTGGATTCCAGCATGAAGCGGAAAGCACCGATCCCGGTGTTGGGATTATCAGCTTCCTCTCGATTGCCCTGCAAAGAGACATTTCATACCGGAGCTGCAGTGCCCGACCGAGCGGGGTCACCCGGCGCCTGCCACTCCCGCGACATCGTCTCCCCTCGGATAATCCCAGGTCCGACTGAAGAGGAGCCTTACGCACCTCGGCCTCGAGCTGGCAGACGAGCGTGCCGGTCCCGTCCAGCCTCGAACGCTCGTGCCGCTCGCTCCAGCTCCCGCGCAGCAACGGCGCCCGCCCCGCGTTTGACGATGCCCCTCGAAAGGGGACGTTTTTCTGCCGCCCATTGCGGCGGTTTCGAAGTTCTTGCAATACCCGGGGTACCATCAAGCACCACGTGACGGCACAGGAAAGAACTGCCCCCAGGATAAGGTCTAATTAGGGCAGTAAAAGGGGAATGCAAAGCTCCCGCCGCCAGAAACTAACATTTCTGGAAAACGTTTGGTTTAAAGGAAGCTGGCCAAGGTGACAACCCGGCCAGAGAAGGGCCACACGGACCCACATCAGTCTCATTATCGTACCCCGCCTGATCTGAGGGCAGCACGATCAAACGCGAGAAGGGTGTGAGGCTCTGTGGGAGGGGAAGCAGCAGAACGAGAATTAGAGTTTTAATACTCCGAGGGCCCTGAAAAAAAACCTGCCGTAAAGAGTTCCAGATGTAAAAGAAAACTGCAAATTCCCCCGATTTGAGGTTTTTCCCCGGTCAATCCGTCCCCATCAACTGCAGCCCTCTGGGCACTGGAAAGCCTTACGTTGAACGACGCCAGGGCCTCCGAAACACTCTTCTCGATGAACTCATCCGTGATCCTCCGGGAGGGATGCTCGTTAAAGACCGAGTTCATTAGCGCAATCTTCGCAGCACTCCTGCGGGCTTCAGCCTTGGTGGGACAGAACTGAGGAGAGACAAACACCGTCAGGACAGAAAGGCAGCGAGACGGCCGCGATGCCTTTGGCCCCACGCTCTGCACTTCTCCTCCCCGACACACGAAGCGGGAATTAGGCGGCAGCGTTGTGTAGTTTTGGAAAGTCGTGCTCTCAGACATCCTGAAATCATTAGGAGCTAGTTTTAAACCGCAGCTATCCCAACCATGCTAAACACAAAAATTAGGCAGGCAGCTGAACTCAGCACATAGTATCTGCATCAGGAAGCGCCGCCGATCAGATAGTCAACAAAACCAATTAGCTTAAAACCAAAACGTAACCAAATTACTCTTCGGCGCAAGGACTGCCGTTCGGGACGGGCAGACCGTGTAGCTGCTAGAGCTGTTTCTTTTGGATACGTTCTGCAAACCAAGACCAGAGAGTAACCGCCTAAAGCCATGGCAGCAAAGGAATCCGAAATGCTGTCAGGACCCGTTGTGATTTTTGGACCTTAATCTTTCGGGTGAGGTATTTGGGTTGGACATCTTCCATTTAAAGAGAAAGAGGGGAGAAACTATCGATCCAGTGTGACGATTTGATTTCTAGAGTCTTTTGGCCCCTTGAGAAGAGGCTCTGGGTCAAATCCAGAGCCCTCGCAAGGAAATATCACTCTACCAGTTTGTCCATGCTGCGTCCTGTAAATACATCCTGCCGCTTCATCCTGGGAAGGAGAACGAAGCGTCAAAACCAACCTGACAGTCTTCTCGGGCGCCGCGTGCCTCACCGCGGCACTGCCACGGTCCGAGTCAGTCACGTGTAGTGACTGTACCTACCGCGAGGTACAGCGTACAGCCAACCTTCCCGCACCGAAGTCGGGTGGGGTTTTAGAGGCAGTTAGGAACAGTTAAAGAGGGTTACAGTCAGACCCACGTCATCCTCGTGCTTCCAGCCGGCAGGAAGACGTTAACGCCGTGCCCAGCGCAGGAGGGTATCTGAGCGCTCGTTCTGGTGGGGCGAGATCCTCGCGGCACCCGAGTTAGACCGCGTCGGAGAGCGATCGTACCTGGAAACTGCCGAAGCAGCTCCCTCCCGGCAAGGTGACGTAGCAGACGTACGGGGGGCTGTTGGAGGGGACCATCTCGTACACCACGAGGGCTCCGTTCTTCAGATCAGCTCCACGCGACTGCTTCATCTGCCAGAACTCCTGAAGGGCCTCCACGACGTTCACTGCGGAGGCAGAAATAGAATCGAGTTCAGAGACGGAAAACAAGCGCCTGGGTTTCCTCGGGTATCGCCCGTCAGGAGCGGCCGCACCGAGACAGAACGGCATAAATGTTGGCGCGCTCCCGCCTACGCAAGCGGGGCCCTACCCAGGGAGCTCGGTTACACCTCGACTAAAAACCGTCGGCTTCAAGGGGAGCCGTAGGCACACGACGTCGATGCAAACGCAGCAAGAGGAACCTAAGGAGAACCACCGAGCCATGAAACAAAGCTCCCCACGGAGAAAAGCTCTTCTCGTTCCGATGAACTCGGGGGCAAAGCTTTCCGAAGAGACTTTCCGAAGGCAGCGGGGCGTTTTTCCCCCGTTAGGAGGGCTGCCAACAGGCTCAGCAGGTTTGCTCACCTGATCCTCAGTGTTGACATTCTTACATTTAAGATAAAAATAAAGCAGCTGACTTGCACGTGCGCCGTCAGAGCCGCGGAAAGCATCCGCTTTTGGGCTGAACATCGCGTACCTAGCACAAAACAACACGACGGAGGCCTGAGGCACAAAGCTACTCAGCTGAGACGTTTGGCAGAACTCCCTGTGATTTGGGTGTATTTACCTGCCACAGAGAGAGCGTGTAACAGCGCAGAGGAGCGTGGTTCTCGCCGGAGAACCTCGTTTGTGCCATTTGGGACGGGAGGATGTATAACCGAGTGGTGAATCGCGGGATAAAACCAGGATTAGCTTTGTTACAGTAAGTGCTTTTTCCATCCCAGTTAGGAAACCAGAGCCAAAAACGTCAGCCCTCCTTGACCTTGGTAATTACAGCAGTCTCAGGAAAAGCCGTTTTGAAGGCGGCACTTTTTCCGCAGCACCAAATTTACTACGTGGGGTTTAAGCACCTACCCAGCTTTAACAACCTGGCGGCCAGTCCACGCCGCGCGCAGCCAGCCAGCGCACACAGCCCTCGCGGCCGCTCGTAGCCCAAAGCCACGAGATTAAATTCTTATTTTAATACACACGCAAGAACTAGAGGCGTTTGCTGCCACGAGCCAGCTGTCTTGTCGCTCTCCTCGTCTTTGAATCCTCAGCGTCACGGGGACTTTCTTTGAGGTGTTCTAAGTCCACTCGCTCTTTATTTTGTCAGTTCGGGCAAGAAAAACGAACCTCGTAGCGTCTAATACCCCGAGTCCCACCGAATTCGCTCTAAGCTTCCTTCTGTGCTGAAGAGCCTGACAGACGGCCGTAGGAAAAGCCTGCCCTCAGCTCCTCCCCGGCACTTCTAACCTGAGCCTTCTGAGCCTCAGCAATCGCTCCGAAGCCAGGCGACCTGCAAAAAGCAGAATTACAGCAACCCCTCGCTCATGCAAGAGCTGTTAAAAGGACTCCACCCCAAAATCCCCGTTTTCAGCAAAAGGAGAATACCCCCAAGTCCCCAGGCAAGCTCTCCTGGGAGGAGCCGTACACGGCGCGGCGAGCAGCGAGCGAGACGAGGCTGCCGTCCGCGCGGTCTCCCGGGGGAAGACAGAAAAGGGAGGGGAGGAAGACAGAAAAGGGAGGCGAACCGGAGGCCACGCGCCAACGCTCGCTGCCGAGCCCGTCGCAAGCCACCCCGGCCCAGCTTTTCGGTTGCCCACGCAGCGTTGCGAAGGTTTAGGTCTTCAGCCTAAAGCCCTCCTTCAGGCTTGCAGGAAGAGCGCGAGCTTCAGCCTTTTACTTATCGCTTTCCGTAAGACCAAGCCGGGCGAGGAGTCCCTAGCACAGTAGCTCCTCACTAAGCGTTTTCTTCCTCTTTCAACCACAGGCTTTTCGGGGCATTTGTTCATAAAGCCGTCGCTTTGGATTATCTTCAAAGTTTAATTGGGGGTCAGGGTTTTTTTGATGAAACATGCAAGACGGGGGCGATTTTCCGCTGAAGACTGACAAAAAGCCGTACAAACAATGCACGGTTCCCTGCCAGCTCTCCGGTGCACCAATAGCCAGAGAATTCCCATCCATCCAGGCAGACTCCCTGCCTGGGGACAGCATAAGGCATGCACGTAATCCCCCACGGATTTGGGGAGACAATGCCCGATTCAATAACGGCTTCAGGGACCGTTCGGCACGGGGCAATTGGGACTTCGCAGCGGCGACCACACAAGAAACTGCAGAGAAAACCCAGCTACATCAGGCCACGCAAATTCTCACGACACAGGGAATTACTCTGAAAAGTCAGAGAAATTATAGTTTGGATTAATTTAGGGAAGCCTGAGAAACCGGCGTTAAAAGCAGGTTAACGAGGAAACGCCGTGCAACGCGTGCACGGGCACGGATTTGTGTTCTCAGCCCAAGACAAGGGTTCCTCTATGCCAGGCGCCGGCTGGGTACGTCGTTAGCGACGGGAGCAATAGGTCAGACAGCTGAGAAGCATCCAAAAGAGGTTTTCTTCCCAGACCGGATTCAATGCTTGCAGCTGCCGCAGGCAGGATGGTTTTAGGAGACGAGGGAGTAAAATACCTAACTGAAACTCTACAAACGCCTCGGAACAATATGCTTTTGTAGGGCCGGAGAACGAACCGCGCCGCTGCGAACAGAGACCTGCCCATCTGCCCTCTCCTCGGCACGGCTCCAGCTACGACGCCGCACAGGTCCTGCTTAGCAGGGAAACGCTGGCTGCGCACCGAATCCGAAGCAAAATCTTAGTCCGGATTTGCTCTGGACCGATGATACTCAGCCTTGCTCATGCTCGCCCCTCGTCCCACTAAATCACAAAAGAGCGACGTGGGGGGAAGAAGCAGGAGGCACGGAGTTCGCTTTCATTTACAGAAAGCATCTCAAATTCCGGCACGTCTCACGCGTGTGAGAGGACGGCCCTCGAGAAAGCAGCGGCAGCTTCTGCACCCTGACGGATCTGGATCCCGTACGGAGCACGGAACACAACGCAGTGCTCGGGCGGGGGGAGAGGGCAGGGAGAAAAACGACCGGATGGTTTGAAGGCAGGTAAAGATGCTGAAGAAGTGAGGTGTTCTTTGCACCGCACATCAGGTCGTGCTTAGCGGGAAACCCAACGCGTAGAGAAAGCTCTTTTAAGTGCCTGCAAGTCCAACAAGTCTCCCTACCGGCTCAAAACGCGGTGACTCTTACTACGGGTGTCAGTCGACCAGTTTTGTATCTTCGTTTGCGTTTCTGAGGGCAGGAACTGCAAATGTTGCTCTTCTAGAAAAGCTTTGTCACCCATCCGCGTAGGGGAGAGCCGCAGGCTTACAGAGCGCAGCTTGACCCACACGGGGCAGCTCCTGTCAGGGGCTTACCCTTTGCATCTGCCACTCCGAGAAAAGCCGAAGAGAAGCCGGGAGACACAAAGCAGAGCCTGCTCTGACCATCAGGCCTATCTGTTTATTGCTTTGGAGCGCAACCCCGTATCCCGGCGTTGCGTATACGATAGCACATCTGACTTGCATATTAAATACAGAAGGGTAAGTGATTCCACATGGCGTTGAGCTCCTCCGGAGCCAGACGAGCAGCGGTCCCTCTGCGCTCCGGTGGCGCTGACTGCCAAGCACTCACCATTTTGGAAGCCTACGACCGCCTCCGTTGGACCTGCTGCCGTAGCCGGAAGAAGTCGGGAACTCAAAATAGTTGCAAAGTGTCTCCTTTCGGGTGGGGTGGAAGATTCTTTCCATCACAGGGCCAGTAAAATATGTGCTTTAACCTTCTTTTTTTTTCCCCTTGCTTCTGTACTTCTTTTTTCTTTTTTAAATACAAAGGAGCGTAGAAGCAACCCAGATCTGAGCCTCCTCCGGGGGCTGTCGCACGACCGGGCGCCTCTGATGCAATACTTGGAGCCCCGTGGCGCCGGAGCGTGGTAGAGCACTTAACACCCCCGCGACAGCCTCCTCCAGCACCAGCAGCCTGCAGAGCTGATCTCTCCTCCCAGCCACGGGGTTTTTCCATCGACAAGGTGCAGCCGTGCAGAACACGGAACTGAGGGGGATCCCAGGAAAGCGGCGGCCACCGCGAACGGCCAAGGATCTCCCGGCGGAGCCCTCTTCGCTGCTGCCTTCGTTGAAAGAAAGGAGCTTTTTTTTGTCCTGACGTCAAGTTGAAGTAAAGGAATTATGTACAGAGGACTAAATCGCTACCGCACAAGAAGCATCCTCCTTCTTAAAAAAGTAAAAAACAGCTAAAAAAAAAATTAAAAAAAAAAAAAAAGGCTCCACTTTAACTTTAACACACGTTTACCTGTTACAGGCACAGGATGAGTAGGAAACCTCCTCAGCTTTGACCCACAAGCTAGGGAATCGTCTGCCCAGCTCCAGCTCTTACACCTGCCTTCATGGTCACCTATACACCTGCCCACCACTAACCTGGCCTTCTTTC